ACTATATACACTACCCAACAAAAAAGAAACAACCGACCAACAGATTTTTCGACGAAAAAATGGCCAATTTTGAAAATACATATTTTCTCAGCCTTTTAAGTCACAGATCTGCGCTAGGTCCCATTTTTTTAAAGAAAATTTTACTCTGAACAAGATGGCTTTTTTAAAATATTTTCCTAGCTGTCAGTCATTCATCAGTAAATTCAAAAAATTTGGAACACGTCAATTTTTGTACTTTTTACGAAAACTTCAAATTGTGCTGTGGAGCCAGGAAATCGTCCTGGAGCGGCGCCCTATAGCAGTCGATAGGAAATTTTAATAAACGTTCAATTCATCTATTTCCACTTTGCACCTCTATTTATTTACATTTTAAAAAGATAGAGGTTTAAGCGTGCATTAATTGCCAGACCTTGGCACTATTAAGCGTGCGAGAGATGGCCAGGAATAACTAAAGATGGTGAAACTTCTGTTATATAAAGACAGACTTTATAAATACTAAAATATAGTTTTGAGATTAGAAACTATAAAAATATCACTTTGTCAAATTGAGCTGAACTGAGAGCTAGGAAAATATTTTAAAAAACCATCTTGTTCAGCGGTAAAATTTTCTAAAAAATGTAACCTAGCGCATGTCTGTGACTTAAAAGGCTGAGAAAATATGCATTTTCAAAGCGGGCAAATTTTTGGTGGTCCAGGTTTTTTGTGACGGGCAGTGTAGTTTACCAAATCATCATGATCACAAAAAAGATAATTCACTAATTTCGTGGTCCGCTTGACCAATTAATATACTACAATTAATTAAGGTTTTTATTTGAGATAAAAAAGTCAATGGCAGGAGCGGGATTCGAACCCATGATCTTCGGCTTGATACGCCTCTGCTCTACCACCTGAGCTATCGTGACCTCGATCCACTCGGACACCAACTTCCTATCCTCAACACTCGTGCCATTGACTTTTTTATCTCAACTAAAAACCTTAATTAATTGTAAAAAAGATAATGTTTTTATTTACAAAGCCAATACAATTTATGGCATAATTAAAAAAATTGAAAGCTTCTTTTCCACTTTTACCTACAATATCGATTTAAAATTAAGTCTACATGTCACAGAAAACCAAATTGTTCGATATTTAAGAAATGGGTCAAACTACACTAATTTTTCGGCAGGTAGATTAGACGATTATCACATAATCATAATATAAATTTCAAGCAGATAGTTTAATTTTTGAGGTTACCTGTGTCATGTTAAAATGATTTAAATTGTAGAAAAAATGTATTTTTCTCTAATCTCATTTAATAAAATGACAGTTATATTGCATTAAGTTGATGTGGATGGACTTAATTTTGCACCATAGCCCAGTATCGCTGCGTTTCATGCTCTAACCTATAATGTCCACTGTCATGTCGATTTAAAATTAAGTCTACCTTTCACAGATAGCCAGATTTTTCGATTTTTCAAAAAAGGTTTCAAGTTAGTAGTATTTAGGTAGTTCATAATAAGCCGTACATAGTAAGCCGAAGGTCTTGGGTTCGAATCCGAACGTGACACTAACTTTTTCATCTCAGAAGACCTTACATAAAAAGAATAATCAAGTGAAATTATTACATAATTTAAAATCATCGTCACCGCAACTGAAAATAAATTTTTTTATGTTTCTGTTTCTTATTTTTCAAATATAAATCGACCGACAAAGTTATATTTTTATACTTTCGAATTTCAAAACTCTCTTTTAGTATTTATAAAGTGCGTCTTTAGCAGGACATTAGTATCTTTAGTTATTCCTGGCCATCTCCAGCACGCTGAATAGTGCCAAGGTCTGGCAATTAATGCAAGCTTAGACCTCTATCTTTTTAAAATGTAAATAAATTAATATTTGTACAGTTTACGCCAGTTGTGGAAGGATAATGAGTAAGGTTGAAAGAATCTACGATAGAAATATCAGACCAAATCTCTACTTTGTTCAGAATAAACAAGATCGTCTGATAACAAGCGTTCTATTAATTAATTAAGGATTTTAGTTGAGATAAAAAAGCCAGTGTCACGAGCGGGATTCGAACGCACGACAAATGGCAAATAGGAGGGAAAATTCAAAAGGTGGGGGTTGAGATGGGAAGTTGGTGTCCGAGTAGATCGAAGTCACGATAGCACAAGGGTAGAGCGGTTTATCTAGCGGAAGGTCGTGGGTTCGAATCCCGCTCGTGACACTGACTTTTTTATCTCAACTAAAATCCTTAATTATTGGTCAAGCGAACCACGAAAATTAGTGAATTTTTCTATTACGTTGTCACAATAGCGGGACGGTCTAGTTATAACGCGCTTTTATCACGACGATAAACAAATTCTGTGATTCCTTTTCATAAAAATCTGTAATTAATACAAACCATGCTACAATCTAATTGGTAATCAGCTCCACCCCGTCTGCGAGTCAGATTAAAAATCGAGACTCTTTCCTAGTTTTAACTATCTTTCGTTACTTCTTCCTATAATCACGTTATTTATAATGTTGCATAAGCATTCTATTTTCGTTCGAACTAGAAGGGAAAAAGCGTCAACTCGATACGTCAATGTCAACATACGATATCGTCAATGCTGAACCGATCCAGAGTTATTTCTGCCTATAAGGATATCGATGTATGATTTATTATTTCCTGCATTATTTTTGACGTACCATGAAATTATCAATCGACTTAAATCAAAGAACGTTGAGCATGAGAAACTGCATCGAAAACAGATAAGACCGAAGGGTAAAGATATCGAAAACAATGTACAAAGAATGAGGGGAATGATTAAAGAGAAGACAAAAGTGCAATACAATATTACAAAGAGATGGAAAAAGTTGAACATGAAAAGATAAAGAAAGAGAACCAAAGAGAAGAAAGAGATAGAACAAATGAAAGACAGTGAGAAAGAAAAAGGGAGGGACGCAGACAAATATCGTGTCCTGGCAATTCTATTTAACAATGTGAAAAAAGGACCGTCTGCCTAAGAGAAAACCATAAAGAGGTAAGGAAAGATAAAACCGGAAAACAATTAGCCAAAAAGTAAACATAAAACGAGAAAAGTATATAAAGTCATAAAATAAAAACAAAACAGAAAAAGAATCCGAACGAGTAAGAGTGCCAGAAAGGAAGTGAGTGATAGGTAAGTAAAAGGAGGAAATGACATAAATATACAAAAATAATGTATAAATAGAAAGAAATTTACTCAGGCGGATATAAAACCAGCTGAACGAAAAAATCTGTGAAGTAGAAAGGAGACAGACAAACATACAAAAGCTACACAGAAAGTGAGAGTGAGAGAGAAGAGAAAGTGACAGATAGAACAAGTGAAAGACAGTGAGAAAGAAAAAGGGAGGAACGCAGACAAATATCGTGTCCTGGCAATTCTATTTAACAATGTGAAAAAAGGACCCTCCTGAGGGAGGCAGAGAAAGGAAATTGAAACAAGAGGAAAGGACAGTAACACAGAAACAGGGAGGTAGGAGATAAACATTGTGTATTGTCAAATACTGTATAAAACAATGTGGAAAATAAAGAAGATGCGCGAATAAAAAAACATAAAAAGTTATCGAAAGATAAAGTATAGCAGTAAGGTAAACATAAAAATGAAAAAGAGATAAACAAAGTCATAAAATAAAAACAAAATAGAAAAATAAATGGTGCAAAGGGGAGAAAGTAAATGGCCAAATGAAAAAGAGAGAGAGATTGAGAGGGATTAGAAAAGAGAGAGGGATTAGGAGGGAGCAAATGAGACAAATATACAAAAACATGTGAAAAAAGAAAGAAATGAACCAGAAAAGTGAGCATCGGTCAGAGAGAGAGAGAGAGAGAGAGAGAGAGAGAGAGAGAGAGAGAGAGAGAGAGAGAGAGAGAGACGAGACGAGAAGGGTGCTAGAGAAGGAGTAAAAAAGAAAAATAGCACAAAGAGAGTGAGAGAAAGAGAGAAAGAGGTTGAAAGTAATATAACAAAGAAGAAGCGTCAGTTAGAGAGGCAAAACTTCAGAAAACGAGATAAGAAAAGAGAGAGTTCTATAAAGTAACGTAATAAAAATATCTAAAATGAAAATATAAGTAAACAAATTAATATACTATTTTTGTTAGTTTTGTATTTACAATTATTTTTCACCTTATCCTGCTGGAGGAAACTCACGAAAAACACATTGTAAAGTTTCAACACGATAAAGGAAGGGGAAAACGACATTCTCTAGAATTTCTAACGTTATCAATTCGTGATTACATTGATGATCTCAGATAATGTGTTTTACACCTGATATCACCCTACAAATATTAGATATCCTTGGCACGGATGATGCAACGACTGAACCACCTACTCATCAACAAAAAATGTTCATAGGATGCTTCGGACTTTCAGAAACAAAAACAAAAGCCCGTTTGGAAGATTTTTGCTGATGTATTTTTATTGATCGGATATATCGTAAAGAATTGATTGTGGGAAAAACACTCATTAACTGATTATTTTTTAAACATTTTTTTTTAAGTTTCCACACAAATTTGTGTTGAAAGTTGGATTTTTTAAAGTGACAAGCCAAGATGTTTAATTATCTTTGATATCAGCGATAAGAATGTCCGTTTTCTGATAAGCCAGTCATCAATGATGGGACGGACGAAGTTAATATGGGCCGTCGAGGGGCAGGGTAAACATCGTCATACTACAGAAGTACAAATTCAGCAAGACTATACAAATAAATGAAGTTTGAGATTGATAGATCGAAAGATTAAGAATTTAAGATTAACCAGATCTTCTATGTTGTTCAAGCCATTTGTATTGTGTATTCGGTTACGAAAGTTGACCTTTGGGCCTTAATTAGAAAATAGTCATGGATCCCTTTTGTTGTAAGTAGGTGATCATCTTGTTTAGAATCCCTCGTGTGTCGTGCCGTTTGAATTGGATAATTTTAACAGCTCTATTGTGAAATATTAATTTTGCCCGTCACCCATGCGGTAAATTTCGAGAAATCTCATTGGGCTCAAATTTGATCTACATAAATGGCAGCGTTTTGTCAATAGAAAATTCCTGAACTTTCAAGATATATCGATTCGAGATGGATACGTTTCACCCAGGAGGAATTTTCAAAAATCTTCCACTAGGAAACAAATCTTTTCGTACTAACACCACATCTCGCTTGTGTTGGAACATTATGTTCATTAACAAGAGGATTAAATGGCTATATGCGTAAAACTCTTTGGTTCTGCATTATATTCAATTTAAATTAAATTAATTTAGTTTATTAAAATAAAATATTAGAAATTTAAAGAAAAAAATACTAATGAATTTAAGCAAATACAGAATACATTTAAAACAAACTGACAACCTCTAAGGATTTCCTTTTTCGCCTAAAATGAAAGTTGTACTTCATTGACGTGAATGAACTTAATTTTTCATCATAGTCGTGTATTGCTGTTTCCTGCACTAACTTATAATATCGACGAGTATTAGTCCTGATTTAAAATTAAGTCTCCCAATCACAAAAAGCCAATTTTTTCGATATTTCAAGAATGTTTCAAACTAATATTTTGGTAGATAGATTAAATGATTAGCACAACATAAATTTCAATTTCAAGGAGATGATTTACTTTTTGACGTTACTTCCGTTGTCATGTTAAGATTATTTTTTAATTAATTAATTTTTTATCTAAGGATTTTCATCTCAACCAAAAACCTTAGATTGGAATAATTAATATGGTCAATTATGAACACTAAGCAAATATGGATTAATTATTTTTGAAATTGAAGAAATAAATTAAAATTTATAAAAATATAAATATATACATAAATTAATTTGATAAAATGACAGTTATATTGCATTAAGTTGATGTGGATGGACTTAATTTTGCACCATAGCCGCGTATCGCTGCGTTTCATGCTCTAACCTATAATGTCCACTGGCGCGTTGATTTAAAATTAAGTCTACACGTCGCAGAAAACCAAATTATTCGATATTTAAGAAATTGGTCAAACTAAACTAATTTTTTGGCAGGTAGATTAGACGATTATCACATAATCATAACATAAATTTCAGGCAGATAGTTTAATTTTTGATGTTACCTGCGTTGTCACGTTAAAATGATTTAAATTGTAGAAAAAAATGTATTTTCCCCTAATCTTATTTTAAAAAATGACAGTTGAACTTTGTTAAGTTGTTGTGGATGGACTTAATTTTGCACTATGGCCATGTTTCACTGCGTTTCCTGTTTTAGCCTATAACGTCGACTGGCGTCTTGATTTAAAATTAAGTCTAACTATAGCAAAAAGCCAAATTTCTCGACATTCCAAAAATTTCAATCTTGACTATTATTTTTGCAGTTAGATTAAATGATTAGCGCCTAACATAAATTTCAATTTCAAGGAGATAATTTAGTTTTTGAGGTTACCCGCGTTGTCATATTAAAATTGTTATTAACGTCTTTTAAACTGAAGATTAAATCAAAATGTTGTTTTTTTCCTAGTCACATTCAAGAAAATAATCTCTTGGACTTGTTAAATTGATGCTATTGACTTTATTTTGCACTGTAGCTATGTATCACTGCTTTTCCTGCCCTAACCTATAATGTCCACTAGTGTGCTAATTCCATATTATGAAAATTTTTCTAAATTATAAAAGTTTCAACTTGACTTTAATTTTGGTGGAATCAACAATTAGTATATAATCCTGACATAAATTTCAAGGAAATAATTTAGTCCTTGAAGTTAAGCTGTATGTAAACAGCACTTTTATCCTCATCCTCAGGTGACATCACCAACATACTTTTGTCTTTTCTCGCAGATTTCAAATCATTGATCATGCCCATGACAACTTCTCATGCCTGTGAATATGACAAATTCTCATGACTGTGAATAGCACTGTAATGGCCCACATCCAACATTCCCTTACGCTACTCCTTTGAAACGCTAATGGACTAAACAATCGCAGACACGAACTGGAAACACTAATCTATGACACACGTATTAGTTTGTGACTGACTGACAGACAACACGCAGAGCAAACCGCTGGGTCTAAACAGCTGTCATTTTGGCAGTGCAATCCTACAATGACATGGATAGCCGCTAAGAAAGGATTTCTTGAAATGCCATCCCTAAGGGGATCAGATGGACAATTTTGTACTAGACATTATATTAGAAAGTACTAGCACATAAGAAAAGTACATTAAACCAGAGTCCCGCATGGATGAAGGATATATTATGTATATAATGCGCTGCTTTTCCTGGCCTAACCTATAATATCGACGGATGTTTCTTTAATATCAAGTTCACTTATACATTTTTTGTTTATATTTCAAAAATGTTTCCAACTTTACATTATTTTCCTTGTATATAAACTGATTACAATTTAATATTTGTGGATAGCCCAAACTTAACAGTGTACACATTAGAGATTGTTTTGTGAAATTTTAAAAATTGAAATACCAATTTAAAGTCATTTCTTCCAAATTAAATATGATGAAATGTGACATGACTAGACTGTCAAGTAGACGTTCATAAATTAGATTATCCACAATGCATTGCTTTGCTATCTCAAAACTAATGTAATTATAATTGCTTAATTACTCACTATGATTTTAAAGTGTTATAATGATTTTTAAATTAATTATTCACATGTGTCAGGGTAATAAATTGTAATAAAACTTCTGACAAGAACTCTAGTAATATTTCTATTTTATTTTTCCTTTATGGAATATTTCAAATAATCAATTATAAATTAAGTAAACAAATTTCAATTAATGTAATGATGTAAATGTTCTATGTATTTACTTACTTGAAAGGAAATGTCAGAGTTTATAGATTCAATCTAAAACGAAATGAGTCAATTTGCTTCCCTCCTACAACCAATCAATAAAGCTAATTTGCAAAATTTAATTTAATTTGTATGCAAAATTATTTGAAGGGGGAGAGTTTAATATAGGAGAGTTTAATAGAGAAAAGTTTTATCCACTAAAATGCTTCTCGACTAGATTGATGCCATCACTCTAATTAAACTTTACCCTTTTTTTTCCCCATCACTTTTTATTAAAACTATTTAATAAGGCGGGTTTGTCGTTAATTTCGTATTTTTGTAAAAATTTGCCTTGTATTACAGATGGTGCCAAGATGACGTACAGCCCAAAGGGCCGCTTCCTACTCCCGTACTTTATCGTATTAATGACCTTGTTGATTTTAATCATCGTCTGGCTCAATACAAATCAAAATTTTGAAATGTCGACTCAGTGCAGCCCATCAGAGGCAAATGAATTCAACGGCTTCTACCTCAGGCGGAAGCTGTCAAGCAACAACAACAACATCTTTTTCATTGAGTCTTCCTGTATGACGAGAGAGATGAACAACTCCAAAGGTGAAAATTGGTCGAATTTGATTTTTATGGAATGATTGAAATAAGTTTTTGAATGCTTAAATATGAGGATGACTCAATGAAAGTTCTTGAAGTTTACAATGATTATTAGACCTGCAAGCCTTTTAACTTTACTGTTATTTTGAAATAATTCACTTATGTCAAAACATACCGCCCACCAATGGAAATTTTACTAGTTCAATTAAAACATAAATTGAGCATTAAGATTGCGAGGAGTCATCCTTTGAAAGAGTTGGGAGTTGTGACTAAGAAAATAAGGAAACTTCCAAGAGTTTAGGGTCTTAAATACAAAAAAAACGTTGTCCATAAAACTCCTGCGTACATGTTATTACAAATAATTAATAATTTTACAGGTATTCGTCTAAATTCAAGACAGGCATGCGCCATATATTCAGCAGCAAAAAAGAATCCGACGAGATATATTGTGCTCTTTCATTCCTGCCCGCTTGATAACGATTTCTATGAAAAGTAATTTTTTGTTTATTATTTATTATGTATTTAATTTGTAAAAATACATAGGTGGAGGCTTTCTTAGTTCAATTTTTTTAAGGTAATACTTTCGATTTTTGTTCCAGAGCTAGTCCTGTAATTAAGGAATTACTCGATCTTCCAAATGTCGCCATCGTCAGTAAGGCTATCATTGATATATACACTGGCTCATTACTGGAGCCTCTTATACATTCGGGGAAAATCTTCCAATCCCAGTATCCCATAGAGCACAACGCTGATATATTAAGAATATTTCTTGTTTATCTATTCGGTGGCGCGTACATGGATATGGATGTCGTAAGTTTAAAGTAAGTTAGTAATTTTTTTTAAATGAATGTAAAAACTTAATTTCTTTGTTAATTTTTAGACCTCTTGATGATCTCGGCCATAATTTCATAGGAGCCCAAGAAGAGACTCAGCTAGGCTCAGGTGTTTTCCAGTTTGATTTTGATGGAAATGGACACGAATACTTAAAGAGGATATTACAAGAGGTGGTTCAAAATTACGATCCGTACACATGGGCTGGAAATGGACCCGTACTAGCTGGGCACGTCTTACAAAAATTTTGTAATATGTCAGCTGTTAGTATTTTGTTTTTTTCTTTCTTGTACGTTAAGATCTTCCAGCATCCAGAACAACCAGCAAAATTAGACAGATCTGAATGACAGTGATGATACCTGATGCGGCACTTGTTTGCACAAATGACCAATAAATTAAATTAAAATAAAAAAACAAATAATAATAAATTGGGAAATAAGACTTGCCAAGATTACAAAAAGCCACTCACATTGTTCGGTAGCGGTAGAGACTTGTAGACGCAGCCTTGTTTCGGGCCTGAAATCCTGTGCAGCTCGGCACAGTCCAGCTTGCAGAACACTTCATACTAATGGGAATACTCTCACGATTTTAAATTAAATGATAATGAAACAGGTAACTCTGTGATATAAAATAAAAATGAAATGATATGAGAGGTTTAAAGAAATACAAAAAAAAAAAAAAAAAATTGAATAGAAGGTTGTTAGGGAAAGACTGGCAGAGTAATGATGGAAAAAGGAATAGAATGTACAGCAGGGCTTCCCAAACTTTTTAGCCATTGGACCCCCTTTCACAGAACAAAATCCAGGGTGGACCTCCTCATTCAAGTAAGTAAAATTAAATATTTATAGTATGTTGAAAATTAAAGCTTTATTATTTAGCCAGTCCATTGTTAATTAGGTGATTGAGGGGGTTTCACTAGATACTTAACTCTATAAACAAATTGGTCAAGCGGACCATGAAATTAGTGAATCTATAAACAAAGTCCAGTACACAAAAATCAAATTTGTCAGAATGGAATCAATAGGTAGATCAAACGAGCCAAATTCAAAAATAATAATTTGAACATTGGGATTAATGAATTAATGGGAAGAGTGAGGGTTTTTAGCGTGCACAATTTGGATATGTTGATTTTAATTTTTGATAGCTGAAGACCGATGTGAGGTTCAGCATCTGGTCAGCTTCGGTATTTAATTTGGTGGCTGTATTGATAGAAAATCTGGATTCGCATAGGAAATTTGTGCCAAATGGAAGAACATGTTTTGGTTTTTCAACGAGAGATTGAAATTTTTGTTTTCCAGTCGGAGTCAAAAATGGGTGCACGGATCGGACTCGAAAGTTGATTTTAAGGTGCAGTCTGTACTAATGTCTATCAAAATTCATATCCACTTGAAGATAGACTTTTTGGCTTTGTCAAGTCTAAAACGGTTTGACCATCCATTAGTCTTGCATAATTGTATCTGGAACTGTTGGGCATCTCCAAACTTCGAAGGTGCTGTTCACCAGTTCATTTTCTCAAAAAAATTATTTAACCTAAGAAAACACTCCAGTCTTCCTTCTCAAAAGATTCAATACCAAAACTGATGAAGACTTCCCATATTGTCATCATCGTAGTGTTGTGAAAAGTCTGGATTTCAGTGGCTGTGATTTGATATAATTAATAATTTGAACAGACTCATCCAAAACTTACCTTAAAAGAAGTTGGAATTTGTTTCACTAAAGCATCTCTGTGGAGAACTCAATATTATTAGTGATGGTTAGGGATGGTTATGTTTATTTTTGCAATTATTAATTTTTCTCATAGTTTGCTGTGTACCCCCTAGTTAGGGTCAGCAGACCACAGTTTGGGAAGCCCCACATTAATTCGGCTGTCGGATTCGGTTAAATTGATGAGAATTTATCACTTAAATAATTTTGAAAGTTTTGATACTCTGAGTTCTTTTATTAAATGTTAAGGAAACATTTATTGGAGTTTGCTTCTTTTTTTTTCTTTTTTTTAAGTATTTTCTTTGGTGACAAGTAATCTTGTTGTCACTGTCTGTTGCTGCATATTTTTCCATGAAAAAGTCTGATAGATATATTGATATTTCTCATCATTGAAAATTTTGGTTAGTTGTAACTGCCTGTTTCTCCGGAGTTCTGGGGGTTGTACCCTCAAAATGACTTTTTGGAAAGACTTTCACATAAATCACCCACTGAGTTTTATCATCATCATCATCTATATATCCCAAATCTTAGTAGCTGTCATGATACTTAGGCTTTTTAGATATTCTACCTCCACTGGCTGGAGTATTGTAAAATTTGAGCATGCTGGATCCTCCTGAAGTGCTTCATCTGAAGGCTAGTTTGGCTAGTTGACATTAATGTCCTCATCATAAGGTTGTCTTTCTGCCTCATCAATTCGGCACTTTCCTGGCTGTTTAGGTGGTGGAGAAACTGCATGCTTCCTCAGAGATCCTGACCTGACTTAAACCACCAATCCATATTGGAGAAAATAGCTGATCATTGAGAATGACACATTTGCAAGAGAAGTTTGAGCTTGAATCATATTTCAATAAACAAAGGCTTTTTATATACGACATTTACAGAATCAGCAGTCGGTGAACATCAGTTTGGTGAGCCCTGGAATAGAGCAATCAGGGTTAATCAAGGAAAATAAAAAAAATTTATTTGGATCCAATGGTTCACCGAATATTTGGATTTTTTTGGTCATTGGTGTCGCTTCAATGCTAAAAGCCACAAATAATTTATTGACTACCCTTATTTATACCTTGTAAGTTTGTTTGAATCTAAAAGTTTTTAGATTGATTGATACATACAAGTATATATACAAGTACTTACAACTTCTTCTGTTGGCTCACCCAAGAATTACTCATTTTGGCGCTTTGCCAGTCCAGGGTCAGACCTTTGTTTTATTCATCCCGCATCAAAGTTACACTTCAGGGGCTGTCAAACCCTAGGTCATTTCAGCCCGAAGTTAGTAATGTTAGTTTTTAAGTAGTGTCAGTTTTTCTTTTTTGAACCTAGGCATACTCTCATTCATTTTTAACTACATTCTATTATTTACATAACATTCACTCAAGTAGAGTGGTGAAGTACTCGATGTTCCTCACATTTACTCCCAAAAGGGATCACAAAACGGGACATCTATCAATATTATATACAACAAAAAAGCTTTATTTCCTCCAAAAATCAAAACGGGGGCCTAAATACTAGTTGCTATGCTCAACCACAATTCTCACAAAGGGTAGCATTCCTACAAGCTCTCTATATGGAGCCAAAGAATGACACTGTTCAATTAAGTGGAATACGCTGGATTAAACTAAAAAAAAGTCATTTTATTGTCTCTGTCATCATGATCTTTCTGATATCAATGGCTATACCTGGCAGAATGAGGAAAGAACCTTTCATGCTATATAATTTAACATGACAAAATTAAAAATATTTTTAGGTTATTGATTGGAGGATAGTCGGGAAAATACCAGGGTGTAATATAACAGTCCACCCACCCAAGGTGTTCTACCCAATTGAGTACTCCTCCTGGAGCACTTACTACAACGAGTCCAAGGCCGATTATGTCAAGGAACAACTCAAGGAAACGTACGTCGTCCATGTATGGAACCACCTGAGTCGCCAAGCAGATGTGATCATCGGGTCGAACCAGCCGTATGGAAATATTGCCAAGGAGCATTGTGCTCCCATATACTGGAAATCGAAGCATCATTTTTGAAAAGCTGAATAGTTTTTCAACCTATCTAGTCGTTTGGCTTTATACGTTACATATTTTTGTTTTTATGAATAATATGTTTATTCAATTTTCACACATTTTTTTCCAACCAAAGATGCAAGATGCAACCACAGTCCAAATTTTGGCTTGCAGAGTTTACCTATGTTAATTTAAATGTTTATTTAATTAACAAATATAAATATGTTTATGTTTATAATGAGACAGCTATTGTCTCTGAACCTCACGTCCACATTAATAAATAAATAATTTATTAATTATATATTAAAACAAGTTTAGGGACCCATGTTAATACAAGAGATAAACTATATTTTTTGTGTAACATGTTATAATCTAAATATAATCTTGTTACCATTTTGATCAACATTCAAGAATCTTTATATATTTTATTTTTCTATTTATAGTTCAACATAGAGTGTATGTTTGCCATGTTGTACATTTATATGTGATTTAAATGTGTAATTATAATATCTATTTGTATATTTTCTCTTTTGATAAAACCACCGTTCATACTTTCGTTTTGAATTTAGAATTGATCATATTATTTAAATTTTATTTTTTTATTTCATTATATCTGCAATATAGTCATAATGACTTAACTTATACATTCCCCTGTTATGAGAAATAATTCATTTAACCGAGTGTAACCAAATAGGGAATTTTTTTTCAATTTACCGAAGTGACCAGCTAAGGAGTTCAAATTCGTTTTATCGCGTTTCAACTTAACAAGTCGACTATTCATACATGTGCAGTGTTGAGCCTAACACTTTTCACCGTCAGCAATTCTAGCTTTTGAAATTTACAATAAATCACCGGCAGGCATTGAAAATCACCCACCGCCAAGTGTTGTCAGACCTAGGTTCCTAGGTTCAGACCGGAGGTTGGATCCAAGCCTGTCAAGAGCTCAATTCAGCATCCATCCAGTTCCTAGATCCAAACCATTAACACTCATTCTTAAATACATTCTTTCTAATTTACCATTGATGGAGTAAGGGTGGTGGAGTAACTCATCTATCACACTCTACACATATACAAGGTGGCCCCAATCAATTCAGCCTTCCAGATCTTATAGGAAATTGAACGCTGAATAAAAAAGATCCTTTGAACCTGTGTCCGCAAACCTTTCAGTTCCGAGCAACAGGCAAAAAACCATGAAAAACCACGTTTTCTTACATTATTCGTGAAATTGTTAGTAAACCGTTAGCCTGACCGTAAAACAGCTCGAAACAACATCTGTAGAGGATTAATTGCTGCGTCGAATGAGATTAAAACCAGCCTGATCGGCCGAAAATTTCATTTTTGGCGATTTTTCTTAGTTAGGAGATGAAGGGGTACTGAAAATTCACCATTTCTGACATTTTTATCGAAAATTCACAACTTGAACACCCTATCAAAAAATTCTCCGTTACAAACCTCGTTTGTTGGTGATCGAATTCTCCGTCATATTAGACCAACCCTATTCTGATTCATGGAACATTCGAATTTTGACTAATTTAATTCTTTTCACCCAAATCAAATATTACTGTTTTCTGATGGGTAAGCCGTTCAGATTTTTCGTACATTATTTCATTCAGTAGGGGGTACCCATCAGAAAACAGTTCAAGTTGTGAATTTTCGATAAAAATGTCAGAAATGGTGAATTTTCAGTACCCCTTCATCTCCTAAGAAAAATCGCCAAAAATGAAATTTTCGGCCGATCAGGCTGGTTTTAATCTCATTCGACGCAGCAATTAATCCTATACAGATGTTGTTTCGAGATATTTTACGGTCAGGCTAACGGTTTACTAACAATTTCACGAATAAGGTCAAAAAACGTGGTTTTTCATGGTTTTTTGCCTGTAGCTCGGAACTGAAGGGTTTGCGGACACAGGTTCATAGGATCTTTTTTACTCAGCGTTCAATTTCCTATAAGATCTGGAAGTGTGGCTGAATTGATACAGGCCACCCTGTATATAACTAACCTAATTAAGAGTCCGGGGGACTCAATATTCCACAATTGACCCTCTCACATTACACATTCTTGCCAATAAATACATTCACTCTCAACACACTATGGGCACAAAACTACACATCAGTACCATGTACAATAAAACAACCCTGGTTTTTCCAAGAATCGGGAGAGAAAACTTACAACCAATCAAAATTCTCATATCGAGTGGCATATCAACGCTCTCTTTATATGGAAACAAAGAATTACACCCTTCAATTAGGCGGGACACGTTCTTTTCTGGCCAGAAACAGCAGACTCTGGATCAAAAGTAAGTGTTCTGTGTCAACCTTGCATGGCCTATTCTTAATCAGGTGAGGACTATTCAATCAGCCAGATCGTCCGAGGGTCACCTATGTCAGTGCGTTTGATAGACAAAAGTTTCTCTGCCGATCTAGCTCACTGTCGCTTCACATTATTTTAATCGTGTTTTTTTATTGGATTTTTAGCGTCAGGGGGCCAGATGTGTGGATGAGTCAGGAAGAATGGGCTTTCCTATCACGGATAGCAGTAACCGCGCTGAGGGAGTCGGTGCAGTTGTATATCCGTATTTCATGGTTTCTGATGTATTTTATTTTGGCTTTTTTTCCTCTATTTTTTTTGTTTTCTATTCTATCCTCGATTTTTTCTCTAAATATTGCAGAATACACCAACCAACTTTTAAAAAATAATTTAATGGGATCTTATTAGTTTTCCAAATTTTTGATAGTTGATAGTGTTTTGTCTCCTGAAAACATAAAAAAAAATTTATCAGATGCCTTTCAAAATTTATACCCAATTATGTGTGAAAAGCAAAAAATTATATTTAAAAAAATTCTAAATTATGTATATTTTAAAGATTATATTTTCAAACTTGGCATCATCTTTCTTTCAGATGGCTACCAAAGTTATGCGATCACATGTTTCACAGACCTTATTTTTTAGATATCCCCACAAAAAATAATCCATTGGTGATAGGTCTGGTGATCTAGGTGGGTATTAGACCGAACACCGTGTCCTAATCAATTTTCCATTAAACTTTCTAGGTAACTTGTAACAACCCGTATTATGAGCCGGACAGCCATATTGTGAAAATACATATCCAAGCCGACGTTGCAAAGGAATATCATGCTAGAAGAAGCCCAGCGAATATCCTTAGCCTGCCTAAACCTAGAACCCGCCTTCATACACCTGCTCCAAGCAGAGCTTGGATAATCAGAGGTTTGAATTGCATAGCCAGTAATGGTGCCCAGTATGAACAGTTTCTTTAAAAGATAGGTAATTTAAAAATACATCTTTTTCAAATTTTTGTTTTTAACACAAAATTGAGAATAAATTTTGAAAGACATGTCCCATTTAGAAAATTCTTTTTTGATGTTTTCAGGAGACAAAACACTATCAACTATCAAAAATGTGGAAAAAAGTAATAAGGTACAAATAACATTTTTTAAGTTAGTTGGTGTATTCCGCAATATTTAGCTAAAATGTCAATCTGTATTAGTTAAAATAACGTGCATCAGCAACCATGAAATACATGTTTTTATTTATTTATTTTTTTTTTAATTTGCCTTCATTAAAAAACGGTAGGTGGAGCGCATAACGTCGGTCACGCTGTATATAAATGTAATTTGTTCAGTTTGTAAGTTTATAACTATGTCAGGTATTGTTGTGTCTGGCGGGATATTTTTGGTCCTCCGTGCCGGATTGCATTCAACTATATTTTTTCTGTTTAATAATTCAATTTTAGCCTTGGTTGATTTGTCGCTACTTGGTTTTTACAATGTTTGTATTTATTGATTTATATGAACAATTTTCAAAGAAATTTTCAACAGGGTCCGAAATATTAACGCTAAACTAGAAGAAAAATTGAAGAAATGATATACAATAAATCAACAAGTCTTGGGCGTTTAATTCCTGAAAACATACTACTATTCAACACCCGCTCATCAAGAAAGATGTGAAAGATCATAATCAAGGTGTGTACCAAAAGCTCTCGGACCTGATTGAAAATTTAAAACCCCTAAATCAAGATAGATCAGAATAACAAATACCTTCTTTCCGTTTAGTCTTTATTTTCTGTCAAACCTTTCGATTAAATTATTAAACTGATCACTAAGTATATGTAAATCATCATAAATGTTTCTTGGTTTGGTCGGAAGTCATGACACTTTTAAAAAAGAGCAATATCTGGAATAAAACGGCTCGCAGATTAAAGGAAAAAAATATATGAAAAATATAAAAAGTATATTTATTCACGTAACAAATAACATCTTTACAGAGAAAATTTAAAGACAAATAATACAAATATCACGCATGGGGTGCATCGCTGAAGAAACGATGAACGTATGCCTGCAACAAAAGATAAAAAATTGAAATAATTTATATTTTTCTGTTAATGTTCAAATACAGTTAAACTCTTTTCCATAATAAAAATAATGCTTCAGATGATTACCGTCAAATGCCGAAGTGAGTGTTTAATGGTGTCCTTTCCATCCGGACGAGTATCCGCTGCCGTAGCTGGATCCGAGGCTGTGACTAGAAAGGCTCAATCCGTGTCCGGAACCGTAGCCGGAACCATAGCCGCTACCGACGGATACGAGGTGTCCAGAACCGTAACCACCACCGTAGCTAGATCCGAGGGAGGAGCCGAGGCTGTAGCCGCTTCCGTAGCCACCTCCGTAGCCACCTCCGTAGCCACCTCCGTAGCTACCTCCATATCCGCCTCCGTATCCGGATCCGAGGCTGGAACCGAGTCCGACGCCAGAGCCGAAACCTCCTCCGAATCCTGAGCCGAGTCCGCTAGAGACGCCGACGGATCCGGTAGATACGGCTACGGGCTGAGCGACGACCACGGGTTGGGGTACAGAGACTGGGACTGGCCTGGTGACGGTGACTGGGTAAGGCTGAGGAACGGGGACGGCGTAGGGCTGGGGTACGGAGACCGGGACTGGGTGAGGGACGGGGACGGGGACGGGGCGAGGTACGGAGACGGGGACTGGCCTAGGTACAGTGACGGGCACGGGTTGGGGGACATGGACGGGAACGGCCCTGGGGACGGAAACTGGTACGGGCTGGGGTACGGGTACTGGTACGGGCCTGGTGACTGTCACAGGCACGGGTTGCGGCACGGGTACAGCAACGGCAGTGTTGACGGTGTTGACGGTCACGGGGGTTTGGGACACGCTGACCAATCCTCCGCCCAGTCCTCCGCCCAGTCCTCCGCCCAATCCGCCGAAACCTCCGCTGAATCCTCCGAGGCCGACTCCGGATCCGAAGCCCAAGCCAGATCCGACTCCAGAACTGTATCCACCACCGTATCCACCTCCGTATCCACCTCCGTATCCACCTCCGTATCCTCCTCCGTATCCTCCTCCGTATCCTCCTCCGTATCCTCCTCCGTATCCACCTCCGTAACCACTTCCATAGAGCGATCCGCCGCCGAGGCTCAATCCGTGTCCGACGGAGAGGCCGCTGGAGCCGTATCCGCCTCCATAGCTGCCTCCGTGGTAGCCTCCAGTGACTACTCCTCTCTTCTCAGTCTTTTTGTCTTCGGCGAGAGCCGAAACGGCCAGGGCCACAAAGAGAGCAACCTGCAAACCAACAAAAATTGTACCACTTCATTTTCCTGCAGATAAGTGCATGGATATGTCAACATCAACAACCCAAACAATACACTCCCGAAAATAGTAAAAAAGCTGTTCCTAGCAACAAAATATTGATTTAAAAAATTGAACAAGAAAGTAAACTATATGAAAACAAAACATTTACATGTTTATTTTATATATTGTTTTAACATTTTGTTTAATTTGTTTTTTGAATCTATGCGAAATATAAATTTTTGGGTCTAAAAAGGTTAAAAAAATACATAGTTACTGCTAGTATTAGAATTTATCCGGACTTTTTTTAAAACCTTTTAGTTAAAAAAACGTTTTGAAAAATAAACGTCCTCAAAAATTTGAACTTATTCCATACACACGTTTGTTTTTTTAAGCCCTAATCGCCACTAGAAATCACTTGATTTCCGCACAAATATTCATAACCGGCGTTTCTTATTCTGTTTACCTTGAATACGTTCATTGAAGGTAGAATGGAGCTGTTTGACGTTGGTTGGGTCCCAGCCGGGCTTATATACGAGACGCAAGTCCGTGCGGACCCCCACGACTTTCACTCCAAATTACATCACACGCCCTCCCCAGGACATCCCCGGCAAGGACGATCCCCCTATTTGGCGCATCTGGAGCACCCTTCCTTCTGGATGGGATCGGGTGGGAAAACGGGGCAAAAGCCGAGCATTGTCCGTAATACTTGATCCCCGGAGGCGCAAGGACGCCAACCGTTTTACCACTTAGAACAAGAAATGTAAGTCACTTCCACACTGAACACGACCAAATGGGACTTTTAACTTTAATAACTGAAACGAAGCGTGTTGGCCATATATCTTCTGCACACCTAAGTCTTGTAGGCATTTTATTATATTTTTTATTTTTTTAATTACGCAAAGTCTGGTTATTTTTGTAACTTTAAACGTACAAAAAATACTTCACCACTTCGACCAAAACAAATATAAATATTACTTAAAAATTGACAAACGTTCAAATTTTTCTCGGAAATTCCAGGGATCGCGGATTGACAAACCCATCACATTTTTTGACAAAGATAGTTTTCTCACAGAATTTGAGTATCTTTTCCAAAAAGTTAATTTCCATACTCACCCCACCTCAAATCATTCGAATACATCACATTGTATTCTTGCTAGTTAGTTTTTTATAAAAAATCAATTTTTTTCAAATCCTCAGCAAGACTATGTTTAATGTTTAGGTTTGGATTTCATATCAAGCGCGCTATTTTTTATTTATTTAATTTTAATTTAATTTTTTTTTTTTGAGAGAGTGAGAGAGAGAGCAAAAGAAAAAGAGGTACATTTTACGAACAAACAAACACGCAAATATATGTAAACAATGATACAGAAAAATAAATAGTGCTGGAAATAGGTAGACAGACAGTGTGAAAGAATATAATAGGAAAAGAGAGAGAGAGAGAAAGAGAGAGAGAGAGAGAAAGAGAGAGAGAGAGAGAGTGAGAGAGAGACACAGAGAGAGAGAGAGAGAGAATGAGAAGAAT